CGGCAAGTGACAGGGGAAAGAGAGAAAGGTAGCTCATCTGGACTCTAGAATCCCTGTTCCTCACTGACAATCAGAAAGCGTAGGGGAGACAGCGCAGATCAGGGCTCCCTGGCCCAAGACCCTCTGATTAACAGGAAAGTTGACTTCTACTCTAGGGCAAGAAATGATCTTGCTGGAAAGACACAGCCCAGCATCACGAAAGCCTCTTAGTTTTATTCCATCCAACATATATTTATTGAACAGCTACTGGGGGTACCTCACCCATGGCCAAGCACCTTGCTTTAAATTGAACATGGTACAGTTTCTGCCCTTAAGAAGCTAAGTAAAATTTACATTATAATTTCACTTTCTCTGTAGATCTGATTAAAAGACAACACATTTATCACCACAACTATATCTGAGGCCACAGGAAGATTTTATTTTTATTATTGGCATTTAATCCCTTCTGAGTTTGAATAAGAATTCAGTACAAGTGAAACAAGCTTCCATAAGTCTGCTTAACCCAAAGGTATTGACAGTATTTCCTTTCTGACTGAGAAGGGGTGAATTTATGAGAAAATGCTATCCTAAGATACCTACAAGAAGGACAGCCAGATAAAACACAGGATGTTTAATTACATTTGAATTTCAGATAAATAACAAATACTGTCTTTTTTTTCAATGTTTGCTCTATATATTACATTGGACATACCCTAAAATCATTATTTTATTTGAAATTCAAATGTAATCTAGCAGGCTGTATTTTATCACCATGTTATTACTGAGAATCCGCTGGGTAAGAGTACCCCAGATACACTCTTGCAGGCACAAATGCCTCTTGCACTTCTTAGCAGGATGGCTAGGTGAGGCATATGCTAAGTAGTTAGGAAAGGTTGCCTAGAGAAAGTGGGGCAGTTTATCCTGTAGGCAAGGGTAGGAACTTGGATTGGCAGGGAGGAACTACTGGGGGGCGGGTGTGCCTGAGCCAAGTGCCTAAGGGTAGGCTGAGAGAGGATGTGGTGGCCCATACCTGTAACCCTAGTACTTTGGGAGGCTGAGGCAGGAGAATTGCAAATTCAAGCCCAGTCTGAACAACTTAATGATTCAGTATGACCTTGTCTCAAAATAAAAAGGGGTTGGGGACTTAGTTTAGTAAGAAGGCTCTGGGTTCAGGCTTCAGTCACACACACACACACATGCACACACAGGGTGAGCTGGGACTTTGCCCCTCACTTCTGCCTGTAAGGCAGTTACCTCAGCAGAGCTGTCATGGCTATATTTCATTGCACCATGGTGAAGGTCAGCTCTCACTTTCTTACTAGGACAGGTGCAAGCGAGAGTGGGTAGCAATGTATCTGGCACGGGAATGACAGGAGACACCCGGTTGCCCTTTGTGAGCATAAAGGATTCTGTAGCCATGGGAGTTACCCTGAAGTACTGGTTTGAGACTGCATAGACATTGGTATAGTAGGGCAGTGCTGGCACAGATGGTTGGGTCCCACTTTTAGAATTTGACAGTAGGTCTAGGGCAGGGCAGAGTACTGCATTTCTAAGTTCTCAGGAGATGCCAGTTCTTCTGCTTCAGGAGTACCTTCCGGGAACAGCACCAAAGCTGTGCTTCTCAGGTTTTGATGCTTACAAACCACCCAGGGGTCTGGGTGCCAGAAGGAATCTATGGGTTCACTGTGTCTGAGAAGGTGCTAAGAGTCTCCTTTGCCCAGCAACTCCTAGGAGATGCGACAGGAGCGGATTATGTTGACAGGCTTCAAGCACATGGCTTTGGAGCCTGGCTGCACATTAGAATCACAGGGAAGCTTTCCAGATTCCCAGCACCTCAGATGTACTTCACAATTTCTTGGGCGGAACCCAGGCACTTACTGTACCGGGTTTTTTTTAATCCACACGACTCTAACGTGGAGTGAAAGGAGTTATTTTTACTGCCAGTTCCTCCTGAACACCACACATACATTCTTATTTCTGTTGTTATGGTTTAGATCCAAAAATGTTGCCCAGCAGTCTCCCCTGTTTGGAAAATGATCGGATCGTGGGGGAGCTGTCTGTTCTTCCCTTTGTTCTCTGTTTGCTGGCTGCCATGGATCGTATAGTTTTCTTCCACCATGCCCTCGTACCATGCAGTCACTAACTGTTGCCAGCCAACGATAGGCCAAATCCACTGGAAATTCTAACACAAACCTTTTCTCCTTTAAGTTTCAGGTGTCGGGTACTTTGTCTCAGTAATGGGAAAGTGACTAATACACCCGAGTGGAACCACTGATCCTCAGATCTTAGATTACAACAAAGATGGTGGTCAGAGCTCTGACTTCTGTAGCTCAAAATAGCTGTGCTGCAGACAAACAGCCTACTGAGAGTTTTCCTTCAACTCTGAATTTGAGAAAATAATAGCACTGCATCATGGAATTGTGCAAAAAATATCGTGTAAAAAAAGAACCCACGTTAAGTGTTTAGTACGGTGCCGGCATATAACTTCTTGGTAAGTACATTCACTCATATCGATCATCATTATGCCAATTCAGCTACCCACCAATTTGAATTCTGGAAAATCTCCCTTTAATCTGCTTTCATTTCTTGTAGATTTCACTAAGCAATCTGAGCTAAACTTTCTTACATTGATACAGGGTAATTCTTTTTCTTTTTTTTTATTTTAAAGGGAAAAAACAATAACAAAACAACAATGAAGACAAAAACAAAACATAAAAACAATGAAAATGATACAGAATTTCAAAACAAGATGATAGGAAATTAACAGTGGCTGTTATATTACATACTGTTATCTTCAGCAAAGTTGCTCAGGTTACCGGATGTAAGAATGCAAGGTTGATGGAACAATTAAAGAGAATAAAAAATAATTTTAAAAAATTAGAAACAATACAGAGCTTCACTAAATAAGATGGTAGGAATTCAACAGTGGTTGTTATCTTGCTTATTGTTGTCTTCAAATTAGCTGTTCAGATACAGGGTAATTCTAGCTTCCCTCCTATGTAAGATAGATTTAAACATTTAAAACTAGCCTTCCCTAGTTCTGTCATGCACTGACCACAGCCAGTTCATACATTTCCCACATTCCTCGCATTTCATCATTCACACACTTTACCATCCTGGCCACTGCCTCTGCAACTCTGGTTTGTGAACACGACAAGTGGCAATTTCTGCAGTGTTAGTTCCGTTGGTGTGGCATGGTGCAACTCATTGTGATATAACTCAGCAGCACAGTGCTTGCCTGGCAATTGTGAGGTCCTGCCTTTGATTCTTGGTACCAAGAAAAAAAAAAAAAGAAGAAGAAAGAAATGAAACATGTTAATGCAGCCTGAGATGGATCGGCACTTTTGGTGACCGCATCACCCTGCTGACGTTCACCAAGTTCAGAGTTTGCTGTGTGGTTGGAAGCTTTCATTCTCATATGCTCTCTGTGCTGCACACCTCAAAGAACTTCTTTGACCCTGTATAACTGTTTTTTAATCTGAAGTGTAAGATACTACAACCTCTTCCATTTCACATTAACTTGTTTCATCTTTCTGCCTCATGAAATACTTTTTGAATCCTGATTCTGCCATTTAGTACAATCATTCTCTCCCAGCTTTGTGACTAACATACCCATTTTTCCATAAACTCACCTTCTGTAGCTTCTGTCATTATTAATTAAAATGTTGAACAGATGGAGCCAAAGGAAAACTGAACATTACTAGAAACACTACTAGAAATGCTCTTCCAGGTTGGTGTGTACCCTTTAAGAAGTGCTGTTCAAGTGGCTGCACGTCCACCCACTATACCAATGTCCAGATCATACTTCTCTCAATTTTGCCCAGACTTACTGGATCAAAGACCACATTAGATCCCTTGTTAAGGCCAATAGCTTTTCTACTGCATTTTCTTAATCTGTGAGTTAGTCTTACAAAGTAGGAAATGAATGGAGTTGGAAACGGGTTTCTTCTTAGAAACCTTTCCTGGCTTCCAGTAATTGCTCTTCCTCTTCTTATTCACTCTCAGAAAATGCTCAGAATATCAAGCTCACTGGCCCACAGTATTGTATCCCTCTCAAATATTTTCAGTTGTTTACCCCTGTCAAGGAAAAGATGATACGGGTTTAGCATAGTTTTGGAGCCCTTAAAATGGAGCACGGATGCTGCCGTTAATCAGATCTCAGCCACTCATGAACTAGCCTGTAGACACACCCTATCTGCAAATACAAGCTGACCTCGGGCTACATCTCTAAAAAGTGATGTAATTTCCAACCCCTTTGTGGTTTAAAGCTATAAATACAGCTGCCATTTTGTAAAGCCTTGGAGCACATTTTTAAAACTGCTTGAATCTGTATTTTTCTGAATCTGGATTACAATCCTATTAACTTACACAAATGCTATTTTCTTTGTTCTCAACCAAGTTGATTTCCTTCTTGCTTGAAACAGTTTTGCAATAACACTTAACAGTGCCTTCAACAGTCTCATTGGTGAATCTCCCAGTGCTGTTGAAGAGAATTAATCTACAAATGAGATAATTCAACTTGCTAGTTGCTTCCTTATAATATCTTAATTGGCCCTGGGTTTTAGTTTCCTCTTAGGAGTATTCATCTTTAAAAATGATCTCTATGGTCCCGCTGATTCTATTATTAGCTATGCAACACAGAAAATGTGACAATACACCAAACTAGCTCTAGAGGACAGTCAACTGGGCAATGAGGGGTGAATGCTTGAATTTCTCCTCTTTAAACAGCCGCCAAGGGATACTGAAGGATTTAGGTCCTTTTACAGCCAATAAAACTTTGATTTCTCAGATTTATATATCACAGCAGTTTTGGTTTCTGCTAGGCACTGCTTTTATTTAGGTTTAAGAGGTTTAGGTCTAGAGATCTCATTTAAAAAAGCCCAGGGCTGGGGGGATAACTCAGTGGTAGAGCACTTGCCTCGCATGTGTGAGTTCAAATCCCAGCATCACAAAACAAACAAATGAAAAAACAAACACCAACAAAACCCCAGACTCTCAAACATAAGACACCTTCTCCAGTATTCAGAAGTTTGGGCGGAATTTTATTTTTCATTATCCAAGTCAACAGATCTTAATTTAACATTAGGTTCCATTAAGAGAACACAAAAGTACAACACTAGCTACAATAAAGCAGTGATTTGGAGGTTAGCATTTGCACTGTAGGACAATAATTAATTCCATGGTCCCCTTGCTTTGATGAGAAGTAAACAGGAAAGCAAATGACTCTTGAAATTGCTTCAAGAAGTTCATTTGTTTCTCCTCTGCTCAAAGCCTCCCTCCTCCGTTAGGACAACAAGCCTCTGAAGTCTAATAGTACCTACCAATATATATATATTTTTTGCACACACAAATCACAGAAGTTCAGGAGGTGAGTCAGCAATCACAATTTAACATTCTCACCACCTCAGTCAGTCACTGCAGCCAACCTTCATCTTGGGTCTCCTGGTTGTCTTTTTATGGAGGAGGGTTAGGGTGTTGTGCTATTCATTTTTAAAGATATTCTAGTTGCTTAAATAAGCAAAGAAAAACATTCCCCCAAATGATTGAAATTTGTTGGATTTATTTCCTTCTAAAGTTTGTACATTTAACATATACCATATACATATTTTAATTCCTTCACTATTTTGCATGATTTCTATTACATAAAAACCATTTTAAATGCAATAATTTTTGTTGTCATGAAACAAAAAAACACCCCCAACTTATAAAAACACAGGAACAGTTATATTCATGAACATTTACATAATAGAGAAATGTACTATATGTATCACAGCTTCTATACAGATCAGATGACCCACTTGTCTACAAGGGTTAGGTTTACTTTAATAACAGTGAAATAGGGTAATATTTATATACAACTATTTTAATAAAAAATAAAGCAATTGTAAAATGTAAACTTAATTTTCATAATAGTCTTTAAACACTTTAACAATATCCACGTAAGTTACTGTTCCATTCAAAAGAGGACCACCATAAATGCCACCATTTTCTCGACAGCATTTCTCAAGTCTGGTAGGTGACAGTAAGCAACATCTTTCCAGTACCTAACAAGGTACCACTAATTTGGCTTTCCCAAGTCTGACAGTTTGGCCACTAAAAAGGAGTAGGCTGCTACTTTGTCACTAATTGCTTTCACCATTTGCAGGGGACATATGGCACCAGGACCGCAATGAAATTGAAATGATTGGTGGAGAAAACTCTGAAGGTAAAGGAATGTCCCACACTGGCAATTAGCTTGAGCCACAGTGAATATAATCCAGCTAATAGGTTGGAAAAGTTAAAGTCTTGTTTGATATTAAAAGATACAAATTACCACCTTTCTGCAGGTCCCAGAGTAACCAAGGCTGACAATATGGATTCCGCACTTGTATAAATCTCTGTTCTAGAAATGGGCTCCTGAAACGTGAGGTAGAAGAGGGTGCAGGGAGGCATGCAGGCCTTTACCCAACAGCTCTCGTCTGGACAGAGCGGAATGGCTGAGCAGGTTGGTGTTTCCTGACCCTTCCCACAGAAATGAAACGGTGTTCATTTCTGGAAATCTGGGTGCAAAGGCAAAGATACCATCCAACCCTGGATGGAGCTCAGGGTGCCGGTTTATTTCTTGCAAAGGCAAAATTTGTGATCTTTGCTTCAGGCAGAGGACTGTTTTCATTACCTTTATCATGTGCCGCCCGAGTAACTGTCACCCTCAGAGTTGGTGTCTTGCCTCAGCAGGGTCAACCCACTGGGACAACTGGATTCCTAAAGCATTTGAAACCCAGAATATGCTGCTCAGTAGAAGCCGAAGTGGAGTGGAAGGCCAGGGAAGAAGCTCCAGAGAGGGGACATTATCTCCCTCTATGGTGCCCTGCTATTCAGGGTTCACAGCAGTGAGCCTCAGACCTGCACCACGGTCCTTCTTCGAGCCTTGTGGCTGGGACTCTCCTAAGAGTGTCTGAAGACTTGCAGAACAAGGGCAAATATTCGGTGTAACTCCAAAATTCTCTCCATTAACCAACCTTTTCAGGAATTGAAGTTAAGGTGCTTATTTCACAACACTGTTAGTGAGAGCTTGGCTCTCTACCCTGCAAAGGGAAATGCTCTTTTCACTAGGTTCCTTCTCACTTCTCTCCTCTCTCTGCTTGCAGATGGAAAAGTGCTCACCTACCCAGCATCCTTCAGTATGAGCTCTCTTGCCAGTATAGCTCAGAAGGGGGTCTGCACTTCTATGGGAGTGCTTCCTGGCTTGTCCATTGGCAGTCCTTTCTCAAAGGAATGACCTTCAAAGCAAATAGCATGAGTACCTTGGAAAATGGTACACACTGGCTTTCTGGATCTTTCCCCAGGGTACTGAGGTACCAGTGGATGTTGGAAAGCTGCTGCTTGTGAACTTTCAAGTTGTGGTCCATCAGGATGGACATGACAGGTAGCCCCCTACTTCTTTGTTAACAATGCAACGCATCTCAGGGTCAGACAAAAGAGCCCCGATTTTTCCCTGGTCCTTAGAAAACATCCATGACATAGTTTCTACATCGTTGTTCATTATCTCTTTAGAATACTTGGGCCCTTTGTGTCTTAAGGTCGTACATTGGTATAAGTTAAAACATTCACTGTGTGCGTGTGTGCAAGCAAGTGTACACAGAAAAGGGTCCATACTCATCAACTTTTTCCTTACCAGTAAACTGGTTCTGAATTTCTTAGGAGCAGAGGACTGAACAAACACATTCACGGCTTACCCTAAGTGGAAGGCAGCCTACTCACCCACTCCATTTCAATTTGGTCTAATTACTCTGGTTCCTATAGCTTTAAAAACATCTTAATGGCATTAAAAATCAACGTGCATATATACTCTGTCTAAAGTGGATATTATTATCCATGTCAAATGGTTACTTGGCTTTACAGCCTCCATGGCTTTATATTAAAATCCAAACATTGCAAATGACTAAGGCCCAAAATAAAACTTTTATTTCTACTAGTCTTTTTCTATATGATTTCTGAATCACAAGGCTGTTTTTTTTTTTCCCACAAGTCACAGATAATTCTCAGATGGAAATACTCTTGCAGAACTAAGACCCTGCTCATCAGCCACAGGCCCAGTCCCCTGCACGTCAAGAACAAATTAGGAAATATATATCTGCAAAAATAGTTTGAGACTGTAGAGTGAATTAAAAAAACTAAGTGTAACTACCAAGACACTATTGCAGACTGGGGCTGAAGATTAGACTCCCACCCTACAATTCCAATTCTCTGAATCAGATACAAAGACATGAGGCAGCGTGTTCCCAACAAAAGACACTGCTCTCGACCACACACTCAAACACACTCAGTCGCTGCTTTAAATACACCAAACATGCTGGTTAATAAAAGTTGAGTCTCTAGTTATCTATTTACACTCTATAATATAAGCAATAAAGTCAAACAACTAAGGCCAGTGGCTCTTCTTTGGGGAGAGGCAGGAAAAAGAGACCTAAGTATAAAAATATTAAATAAAGTTTTAACCTGCTCCTGGAGTCCTTTTACCTGTGATACCAGTTGCTAACTTGTGCAACTGCAAACCTGGAATACAGTACCCCATCTTGGGATGCCCTGATATACTTCAGCATTTGTGATATTTCTTTAAAGAGGGTAAGGATGCGGCACCAGGAGAATGGTTTGAGCTACTATAAAATATACATAGGTACATAAATTATATGGTGGATACTTACTTAACTTCTCAAAACTACATTTTCTGGACTAATTACAACAATAAAGAATGTGTGCTGTAAGCATCACATTTTGTAATAAGCCCACAATTGTCAGTTCAACTTTATGTTTAAGTGCTCTTAATACTAAAGTTATGAAAACTGCACAGGTTGCCTTTTTCTCCCCCTTTTCATTCGGTATTTCCCAAATTATACTGAGCTACCCCCTTGGGATTACAGACTGTACACTTTAATAGATTCACATGATTTAGTTCAAAGTCATTTTTGCCCTGGTGATTCACAGCTCAAAGATGGAATTTCCCAGCCCAAAGTCTTATTAAAATTTAATCAAAATATCATTTGAATTTGAGTTGAATACAACAATACCACTATATGTACTCTCAACAGCTGCATTATATAATCGGTCCTATGAGGTTTTTACTTGCTTTTCATATCACACTGGTTACTACAGACAAAATAATTTTGATGTACATATACCATATACGGATACACAATCTACATATTGATGCGTATACATACATACAACTATAAATACCCACAAATACAACATTGGCACATGACAGAAAGCATTATCTTTGACACCCGACATACTGTCTGTACGGATATTTCTGAAAGCCTACGATACAACAAATACACACGTAAATTACAAAGGACGAGCCAAAGACACCTACAAAAACCTATTGTATATACAATTAGCTTGCCATATTTCCTTGCTGTTGCATTCAAGTCAACAAACTGTCATGCAGATTCAAGTACTTACTGACATTCTCTCTCTGCATGCAATGGGCCAATTACTGTCCTAAGCAGAAGGCTGCCTGCCTGGGGTTGGATACTATACATATAAAAAGAGAGTGATCTTGGACTTCAGTCCTTCTCTTAAGAGTAAGAGGTGGAAAGGGAATCCAAAAGGAAAAGCAGTGACAAAGTACCTCTATATCTCTGTCAATAATCTATCACAGGAATATTTTGTGGTTATCTCTACAATCCCTAGATGATATGATGGTGTAAGACAGCAAAAGACTGGTGAGAGGGAGTGATCTGCTGGCCTTGAAAGAGATCAGCGGCCTGGCCTGGATGAAAAAGGCCAAATACTTGGGAGAAAGGTAGACCTACATGCTCAGCTGCCCACAGAACTCACTAATTTATTTAGGCAGATACGATCAATCATAAAGTGGCACTATCATTCATCAAGTAGACTCCATTTTTAAAAACAAGTGTTAGGATGCCCCACTGATTTTTTTTGTCTGTTTGTTTTACAATGCTAGTTGTACAAGTGAAAAAAATTTGTTTTTTAAAAAGTGAAGGGATCATTCTCTGCTAAAATTGAGGAAGGTGGCTACTGACCTGCCAAGTCCACAAGAACTACCCTACCGCGATTTGAACCTGCACACCTAAGAAACTTACTGTGAACTGAGTGATATAAGTGATGACTACAAGGAAAAATGCCAAAGAATTCAATTTCTAAGGGCAATCAGCTGAACCTCAAATGGTCTTGACACGAAGACAAGGGAGAAGCTGATTTCTGGAAAGTCGGTTTTCTGCTATCGTCCAGGCAGAGAAGAGGCATAGCTCAGGGCAAAGCAGGCTGTGCTTTATCTAAGAATGGCTTTCTGGGCTTTTAGATTATAAGTGGGGCAGTGGGTAAAGACAGCAGTGGACAAAAACAGCCAAAAAGTCTGTGTAACTTGGTACTTAGGCAGCAGAAGTCCTCATTCCTGTTGGTTATGCAAATTCTCCCCCAACTCTAAAAGTTCGGTGGTCTGGCTGCATGGTAAAATACAAACCTAGCTGGTCTTTGAAAAGCCAGCCACATTTTCTTCTTCTAGAATTAATTGCCTGTGTCGCTTCTGTATAGGACACAGTCCTCACTTCCCAGGTTAGGGTGCCAGTGGGAGAAGCATTAAGGGTCTTGCAGATAGCACAAGATTACTGCTGCCTGAGAAAATGCCTTCTACCTTCTTTACTTAAGAGTAATAAAAAAGGTTACATACCCTCCAGGAACTATTTCTACCAGAGGACTCTCCCACATGTTGGTTTTGCTGAGATTAATTAAAATGCACAAAAATATTGCTTGGTTTAATTAGACAATGCTAAGACTTAGGTAACTGGTTAAAAAAAGTATTTCAGAAATGTCTATGGTCTGGAAATAAAGACTATATATGTTAGTAACTAAGTCTGATTGCTGAAACGTCCCCAATATCTCACTGCAAAAGTCGGTATGTGAAGAGGGGGCAGATCCCAAAACATCCACAGATTTTATACATAGGGCCCACCTTCCTTGGCCAATTTATAACAAGACTATCAGCAAGGTATTTCAATGACTTATTAGGATTTTCTACACTAAAAATTAATATCGAAAATATGTGTGAGAAAAAGAGTGATGATTTCCCACATGGAGAGAAGTCCCAAGGCCCCGGGGCTCTGAGGTAGGGATGAGGACTCAGGTGGGGATGGGGAGGAGTACCTTCAGAAGGGAGGGAGGAGGGCGGCTCCTCTGTACCGTGAATAGTGCAACAGGCTCTAAATAGCTGCAAAAGGAAACACCTTCCATTTCCTTTGACTAGATACCACTGAGAAGAAATGATCACAACAGAAAAAGTGGCTGGCTATGGACCAGACTCTCAGGAACCGCTTGTATCAGAGACTATTTCCTGTCCCAGGATAAATCCTGGCTTGCAACACACACTGACAGCAGACAGCATCCTTCCGGAGGCCTCAGGGAAGAGGTGTTTTCAACCCACCCTGTATAAATGGATAGCATCACACCATGGTAGCCTGGGATCTTGGCCCACAAAAGAACCTTAAGGTTGTTTTTAACTGCTGCTTCATAATCACCCTTGCCATCTGACTATCCATTAGCATGTCTGGAAGTCTCTGAACCTAACATTGGTGAGTCCTGTAACAGGAACAGTGCTATGGGGGTGCTGATGCTAACCGAGTATTTTAAGACTACTCTAAACATCAGAAATACTGCAGCAAGGTACCATTCAATATGCATTATATACTCTAAGTAAAATATACATAAACATTTTATATACATAGATACACACTGTGGGTAAACACATTCAAGCTAGTCAGGGATGTCAACTTATCTTCAGTTACTGAAGCTTATAGATCATGTGGTCTACGTACCTCTCTTCTTCCTCAACTAGTATAAATATTCAGGCAGAAAACAAACACTGATAATTCAGATTTCAAGAGAAAGACAACTTAAGGAAATCTTGAATTTGGTAAGAAGCTACCAAAATGATTCGGGTATCTAGGTCATATTGGTTACTAGTGTGTTTGATAGTTCTGAATCATAAATTTAGACATTACCTTTATCTAAAAAAGATAGAGGTGAAGAGTAAGTTTTTCAAAAGTGTGGTAAAATACCACAAAGCGAGAGCTACAACCATACAGAGGGGTTACTCTCTTCTGTGCACCAACTTTGCAAATAGGGGAAGTAAACATTAATAAATAATCATGTAAGTAAATGTAAGTATATTGTAACAATATATTACTAGAAATACCATGGTTTTAGAGCAAGTTTTCTCTAATCCACTTGGACCATGCTATTCATGCAGAGCAGCCGATTCTTTGGTCATAGTACCTTCAACTAAAACATGAAGTAGAAGTAGAGAAAATGTCCATGGGAGGAAAAAGAATATTCAGAATGATCCCATTAGTTTTGAAGATGTGTTGTTTTGGAAGATGGTAGCTTTAGGGAATTCAGTTACAAGGTTTAGAAATCTGACACTTGTAACTCACAGGGGGCTGAACCTTCCCTTCTTTTTCCTCCTCTAGAAGTGATCATTCTGTTTATCACCCTGAATTTCAAAGGGACAGTCACAGGTACAGCTCATGACCCTAAGGTGAACAGAACTATTTCGAGTACATAGACATGATTTAAAACAGACGCAGAAGTTTTAGGAGCGAGATTAACAGGGATAGAGTGCAGTGGCTATAAAAGAGTGTGATAAGAAGAAACTAAGAAACTCTGCGTATGCAACCAGCAGATTCTTCCATTATCAGTCACAACCATCCAAACTACTACTTTCAGACTTAGTCTTCAGAACCAATATCCACCGCTCATCAACGGCAGCTGAATTTTGCTCTCTTGTTTTGTCTTGGCTTAAGCAAAGAACAAAAGGAGCTCCATTTTCTACGTTTTGTTACAAAGACTCCAATATCCTAATAACCAGGAAATGACCTCATGCCTAAATATATTCAGCATAAAAAAGAATCTACTCCTGGGTGAAAGTGTGTTAACAACAGAGATGACTGTAGATTCCTAGTGAAGACCCCATGGGAATGAGGTAACAATTTCCGTCAGACTAAACACATGTCTATTACGGCAGCTACCCCAGAAGTCTATTATTGCCACTCTCCTTCAGAAAACAAAATTAACTTGGTATCCATCTGTCCTGAGGCTTCCATGGCAAAATGACTCTACTTCCTCTTACTTGGCTGGCATGGCATCCACACTTCAAACAAGCTCCTGTTCTTCCCCAAGTTCACCAGTCCTGGGTCTTCACACCCCGCTCCCTGCTTCCAGCAGGGTCGGAACTCAACACTAAGTGCTAAGGTTCACGCAGGGCTACATCATGTTGGAACATCTTGATCCCAGTATTGTAATTCTCACTTAAGTATGTGTGAGTATTCAACTTCACCTCCGTGACCGGGCAAGATTTCACATATAAAGGCTTATGTTAACTCTGGCTAAAATTTACTAAACTACAGAGTTTGTCCAGTTAAGTGTTTCACAATGGACTAAGTTTTTTAACCTTAAAAAAAAAGTATAATGATTGATTTGAAAATACATGAAACAACTGAGCAGAGTGCAAATAAGAGAAAATCAAAGGAGAAGGGATACAGAATTCATTTTGAAGTCATGATCCTCTAACTCCTCACAAAAAGGTGCATTAGTTATCAAGTTGCAAAAAATCATCAAAGCAAAGAAATCCAGAGCAAAGACAATCTGTACAGAAACTAACAAAAATATACAATATAAAAAGTTACTAATGCACCATTTAGTCACAGACTTTTTTTTTTTTAATATATTCACGGATTACCAGAAAGATCTTGAAAACCTCTATTTTGCTCCATGACCAGCACTTCCTGGCCCCAGCTGGATTCTAAGTAACTTTTTGCTTAATGCTCGGTGTTTCCGGTCGGTGATCCTTCCGCTCTGACACATTACGCTTGACCTTTGCGGTGATCGGAGACGAATCAGGGTTCAGCGAAGGACTGGAGTGTGATTTCTTCAGACCCGCAGCCTCATTCTCATCGTGACTCAGAAGCTGCTTGCCTCCTTCTTTCAGAATGCTGACGTAAGTTTCGTAGCGGGTTTTCTGGAGACAAAGAGAAGAATGTAGTCAGTGCACTGTTTTACAAAGGCGTAAGAGCGGCACACCTCATGTGCTGGCTGCCTGCAGACCTTGAACGGTTGTTGAACACTTCACTTCATTCCCCACACCGACAAATTACTTGGGTATTTACTGGGCACACGAGAGGCAGGAGCTACAGGAGACTGATTTAGTGATTCAGATAAGAAGTTATCATTTTAGTTACTGTTTGTTGTATTTGAGGAAGTAACGCTGACACAACAGGGAGTTACTGGCTACCAGGTAGAACCCACATGCGGGCACAAGAGGGTCTAAGCTGGAGGCACCATGTCCTCTGGTTTTCAGTGACGGGATGGCTCTTACGACTCATTCTCTCATTGCTTGAGTCTCCCCCACGTGATCTCGGCCTCTGTGAACATAGTCTGAGTACAGTTACTCACTCTCTCTCCTACTTCTTGTAACTCTACATAGATTCAACCGGAAGGAACCTTCCATAATGAGTGCGTCTCCAGCCTCTGAGGAGACCCCAATCCCGAAGCTGTTCTCCATTTCCCTCCATTGCTTTTCTGCTGGGGTTCCCCACCTCCCATTCTTATGCTATGATGAGCAGCAGTTACCAGGAACATTATGCAGTTTGCAGAACCTCAAATTATTTTCTGATGCTTATCATGTTCAGCAGAATTTCCTCCATCATCACCTATTTATTGAGTATCTCTAAGATTTCAAACAACATCTTGACCTCCTGGTCTCTCGTGTCTAGGTGCCTTCACTCTAACAGTTGAGAAGAACACTGCAGAGAATATTCTCTGTAGCCTTAACAACCACTGTTTTTTGATGTCATTTCTATCCAAGTCACTTATATAGAACTGTGGTGTGTGTATGTATGTATACATGTGCATGTGTGTATACATTTCAAATTGAAAACGGTCTTCCATTCTTAATTTGATACATTCTAGTCAAAATAAGTCTTTTACCATGCTGCCTCCACACATGAAGAAGTTTTAGAAGACCTAAAGTGTTTTATTTCTAAACAAAAGAACATGTCAGTTATAAAATGTCTGAATGAAGGCAGGCAAATTCTGTGAAGACTATACATCTCTTAAGGATTTTTCTAGTCAGCTTTGTACATGTCAGTTTTAAGTTAGTAACTGTGAAGTGCTACCTTTCTCAAAAGCGTGAAAGCTGCTAGCCATTAAATTTGCTCTGGGTTTGGTTAGTATCTAGGTGCTGGTGCTCTGGGTGATGATGGTGCCATGTACTGAGTGTCCACATGCTAGGTTTAGGTTATTCTTACCGATCCTACACAATTTGTAACATTACTGTTCCCATTTTAGGTAAGAAAACACAGGCAGAGAAGTTCACAGGAAGAAGCTAGAAATGGAACTCTGAATTGAACCCAGGCAGTGTCACTCCAGAACCCATGCTCCTTGAGCTATGCATTTCCTTTATGGATGTGGAAATATAGATACACAAATCAATGGATGTTTCAGGTATCTCCTGATAGACATGGGTGATTAGCCAATCAGAAGCCATGCTTGACTATTTTCTTATGTTCCTCCCACAACAAAGGCTGATCTTAGAGACGGCATGGCTACATAATGTGATGAAGGAGATGTAAGGAGAAGTTTGGGTCAGAGTTTTTTCTCCTGCGGGGGTTGCTTTCTGAGAAGAGGGAGAGCCCTTAGAGGGGAAGGCACTAGCACAAGTTCCTTATTCTTATTCCTTCTTTCACAGAAGCATGATTCCTAAAGCTGCTATCTTGTGATCTGGGGCAAGAGGCATGAAAGCACAGGGCAATATGCCAGGCCTGAGGGAAACAGGAAAGACAAAACACAAACAGTAAAGTTGTTGAGCTCTTGATAATTCAACGAGCTGGGTCCAACTCTGACTCTTTATTACCTCTGGATGTTTGCCATGAATCATAAACTTCATTATGTGTTAAGCCACTGTTCATCAAGCAGTGCTACTTGTGGCTGAAAGCATTACAAATTGATAGACGTTCCAATAAATATGTACTCTTCATAAAGAAATAATGCGGTAAAATAAAGAATGATATGGTAGGATTATCTCAGAAGGCCACGGGAGAACTTGATAAGGACACCTGCTAATAGAGAATGCCATCCGTCCTGCACATTCGCGTCATGTGGTCAGGACACTGAGTAAGATATATCCAAAGGACACACTGATTCCAAAGTCCTACTCATTCCCAGAATTTATTACTTAATCCGTCTCCACGCTGCCTTGGTAGCAAGATTAAAATGCATGAAAAAAACCATTCTCAGTAAGAACAAGATTGAGTAAGATGACCTATCTGCAGTGTAAAAATAGATCCTGGAGGCCAGTGTAAGGCACAGGATTGCATGGAGCTAAAGCATCTACATGATGAAAAGAGCGTGAAGGAGTTTCCGGAGGTGACATGGAAGGGGACAAGAGGAGAGGAGGTGATAGGGGTGGTTTGCTACCAGTCTTTGAAGGAACTGTTACTACTGAAAGCAATTGCTTGAAAAATAACATAGCAGAAAACCATCTCACCCACACATTCTACAGCTCTACCTTCGAGGCTATTATCTCAGATAAATTACATTGGTGTGTCAGTCAATAAACAAAAGGGCACAGGTGTGGGGTGTATATGAGTCACCAGATCAGAGGAAAGGCCAAAGCAGGGGAAGGGTGCAACGGGGCTGGGAAACCGAAACTGCCCTGTTGTTGTTCAGACAGAGAGGAAGAGACCTTAGTGCTATGGTTCCAAGTGGCTGTGTTCCTTTTCTGATTGAAAAGAAAGGTTTATAGGGACAGAAGCTACAAACCCCAGAAATATAACTTTGATTTTTTTCTATTCTCTGAGATTTTTGCTCAACCTAAATCAAACATGTGCCTTCAAAATATTTTAGGAAAAGGTCATTTCAATCTCAGAACTACTCAGCAAGCGTTGGTTTCAGTCCTGTCCCTGAAGGATTATAGGCTCATCCCAACATGTAAATCCTTCTGAAGATGCTTTGAGGCCAGGCAGAACTGTCTCCAGTAAAGAAAAGCAATGAGGGGGCTGGGGATTTAGCTCAGCGGCAAAGCGCCTGCCTGGCAAGTGCAAGGTCGTGAGTTCGGTTCCTGGTACCAGAGAAAAACCAAAAAAAGAAAAAAAAAAAAGAAAAGCAATGAGAATGAATAGAACTTTCAATGTCCTTTTTTCATTGATTTCTTATTGTATTATCTTTGAGGGGAGTAGGAAGGGCATACTTTGTCATAACTTTGCAATCTCATCTTTGGTAGACTTTTTTCTTTCTCCATCTCAATGAAGAAATGATTCTCATCTTTTTTCCCCTGGGGACAATTGTGAAATTTAAGCTTTCAGTTAAAACGGGAGTGTGAGGAAAAGCAAAGTAGTAGGAGGGGAATCTGTAAATCACTCTAGAAGATGCTTTATTTTTAATTGACATACAGTACTTGTGGATATTTAGGTGCTACACTGTGATATTTAAATACACCCACAGAAGCCAGGCATGGTGGTACATGCCTATGGTCCCAGCACTAGGAAGGCTGAGGCAGAAGGATCATTAGGAGTTTGAGGCCAGCCTGGGCTACATAGTGAGACCTTGTCTCAAAGAAATAAAAATACATCCCCAAAATATGCAATAATTAGATCAGGATAAATCATCCTGATTTATCATCTCTAACCTCGGAATTTATCACTTGTTTGTGTTGGGACCAGTCAAAATCCCTTGTACTATTTTCAGATGTTCCATTAACGATTGTCAACCACAGTTATCCTACCCATTGTGCTATAGAACATAGTAAGTTATTCCTCCTATCCACCTACACTTCAGTACCTGTTACCTCTCCTCTGTCTGGTTTCCTTCCTCTTCCTAGGCTTGGGTAACCACTACCTCACTGTCTACATCTCTGAGATCGACTTTTAGCATTCACAGGCAAGTAAGACCATGTAGGATTTGTCTCTTGATGGCTCATTTATTTCACTTACTTTCCTCCTGTTCTATTTATGTTGCTGCGAATGACAGAAAATTCATTCTTATTTACGGATGAGATTCCCCTGTGCTTATAACTGCATCTTCTTCATCCATGGACAGACCCCTAGGTTGACTCCAGCTCTGGCCTATTATGAATAGAGCTAAATATACATACAAATGTAGGTATCTCTCTGACATACTGATTTCAATTTCTCTGGGTACATACCCAGTGGTGGGATTGCTGGATCATGCGGTGGCTCTATTTCTAGGTTTCTGAGGAACTTCCATACAGTTTGCCACAATGTACTAATTTAGATTCTCACCAACAGTGTATGAGTTTTCCTTTCTCTGCTTCTTCGCTAGCGGTTTTTACTTTTGGTCTTTTTGATAAGAGTCATTCTAACTGGGGTGAGATATCTCATTGTGTCCTGACTGCATTTACCCAATGATTACTGATACTGAGCATTTTCATACCCTTTGTGATCATCTGTACATTCTCTTTTGAGGAATGTCTGTTTAGGTCATTTGCCTCCAGCCTCTCTCCTTCCCCCAGACACCTGGCCTAACCTCCAAACCCATCCCTACTGCCATTTCTAATTGGATTTCTCTCTTCTCTACTGCCCTCACTCTATCTCTCTCTCTCTCTCTCTCTCTCTCTCTCTCTCTCTCTCTCTCTCACACACACACACACACACACACACACACACACAAACATACATGGTGGAACTTGCAAATATTTTCCCTCATTACATGTTCACTTCATGTAATGAAGTATCTCTTCACTCTGTTAATTGTTTCATTTGCTAATCTTATTTGTTAATTTTTGATTTTGTTGCCTGTACCTTTGGGTTCATATTAACAAACAAACAAACCTCTGTCCATACTAATATCCTCAAGTGTTTTCCTTATACTTTTTGCAAGTCCCCCTCCTTTTTTAAATTTTTTTGAGACAGGGTCTCTCTGTGTAGCTCAGATTGGCCTCGATCTGACTGCATAGCCCAGTCAGGCCTTGAACTCAAGGTAATCCTGCCTCGGTCACCCGAA